CTGGGCTCCGGGCCCGCCAGTGCCTCTGAACCAACCTGGGCAGCCACAGGCATGAAGGAATCATCTCACGCAGCCAATCCAACTGCCAAGACACCCGCCCACAGCTGCAGCAGCATTGCCTCCGCGCTGCTGCCCGGCCAGCTGCCACCCATGTGCACTGGGCTGGGTTGTGACAAAGCTGCAGCTGGCTGGAAAGGGCCTTCCCCCAGGCCCTGGCCCAGGCCAGCCCTCTTATCCACCCACCTCACCCAGGGCTGAGTGGGGCCAGCTGTGGGTGCTGCTGAGGGCGGGCATCGAGGGGCCAGCCCAGGCTGGGCTGAGCCATGGGGCCAGGGCCCTTTCCAGCTGGCTATGGCTCCAACAGTCCAGCCTGTCCTGGGCGTGAGAAGCTGGGAGCAATTCGGGTGCACAGGTCCTGTGGCACCAGCATGAGCCTCAGCCGGCTGGAAGGGCCCTACCCCTGTAGCCCAGCCCAGGTCAGCCCCTCTGTGCCCGTGCTCAGTAGCACCCGCAGGCTGGCCTGGCTCAGCCCCACGGCCACAGCCCCAGCCCTGGGCAAGGTTGGTGGATGGTGGGGCCATGCCCCCTGGAATCTGGCCACGCCCCCGCCCCTACCGTTGGAGGGGGGTGGATCCCAACAGGAGCTGCTCTGTCCCAACCAGGCAGACCCCAGCTGCTGTCTCCTGGTGGGAGGGGGGAGGGAGGGGGAATAAACCCCCTATCTATCCCTTCACCTTAAGGGGTCATGCCAGCTGACATCTGTCCATGCCCCTGCCCTGGCTAGGAAAGTTCCATAAACTGATTTGACCCAAATCAGTTAAGTCTGGTACTACATTCAACCAGATTTATCTTAAACCAGTTTCAGCGATTTTGAAACTGGTTTCTGTGCACTGAACTTAAGTTCTGTTACAGGTCTAAACTAGTTTCTGTTCACTGAAACCAGTTTATGTGTAACTTCTATCCCTAGCCCCTGTGCTTGAGGCCTGCACAGCTGGATAAGTTCCATGCACACTGTGGGAAGGCAGGAGCATACAAGGAGGCAAGCAGCGCCAGCTTCATAGTCCAAAGGACAGCAGAGCTCCCAGGATCAGACCCACTGCTGCCAGTGGTCAAGCTTTGGGGTTTTCAGGATAGGTGCCTGGCAGGTACTGGCCTTTGATCAATCTTAACAGGCAAGTTTAGACAGTGTCTGCAAGAAGCAGGGCATTCTGGAAAAACTGTAAGATATCACAAGTTATTTCTGAGTAGGCCAAAAAGACAAGAGCATTCTCAGCCCTCTGACTGCATGAAATCCATTGGCTCATGCAGTAGTTATAGATGTGAGAACCCCACAAGATGTATTAGTGCTTTTCATTTTCTTTTTTATCTTGCTATTTTCTTACAGAAATAACCTATCTTTGCATGATTGTCATAAATACATTTATTAAAGTACATAAAGAGTATAGGTTTATAAATTCTTATACATCTAGTGGAAAAATTTTTATCCACCTACGAAGTTCTCAATAAATAGATCTAACTTGAATCACCTGGAGCAGACTTTTTGACTTTGTGACAGGAGCTTATGTGTGTGTGCATGGTGTGTGTGTTTGTATGAGAGAGAGAGAAAGAGAGCGAGAGAGAGATGAGCATGGCCCGATTCTTGTTCCCTGGTCTGCACTGACTCTTGTGCCATACTCTTTGAATGGCCTCATTGCAGCCTAGGGGACCACTCCCAGAGCAAAGTGCCAGAGGTTGGCCTGTGCCAAAGGGATGGGCCTGTCCCAAAGTGCTCGTAGATGCACTTTGATAGTGTGTTTACTAATTTGTCAATGGGCACATCTACATGAGATGTTTACTGCACAAAAAAACAATTAGCTGTGCAGTAAATGTCTCGGTGTCTACACCTGCACCCCTATTAGGCTGGAATAAACTAATTTACACCACAGCAAGATAGTACTTGTATTTACAAGTAAAAAACTGCACAGCATTGCACGTGTAGATGCTGCCCTGGTTGGCCGGGGCATGAGTGTGCTTCAGCGTGAGAGCTGCTTGCCAGCTAGCCCCATGCTGAAGCCCCCTTGTGCCCCAGACAGCCCCTCTGCAGCACATTGAGCCAGGTGGAGCAGCCCTGGGCTAGCAGGATCACCTCCCTGGCCCCGCTGCCAGCTGGGGCTGTTCTGCCCCAATTCAACATGCTGTGATCCTGGGTGCACATACCAGACACATGCCTGGGAGCAATACGTTCTGGAACACTACGCCCCAGAGTTTATAGCTGCGCATTAATAGGCACATGTAGATACGCCTAGTGTTAATTGTTTGATGGATACTGCAAACATGCCCTAGCCTCTGTGTGAATTTGGGAGCTGTGGATGAGTTTTAGGGATTTGGCATAGGAATCTCTATGAGAGGCTGAAGAGTTGAACTGGCAGATTGTCAGGGCCTGGTCACTGACACTTTATCCTATTAGTTCAGTCCCTGACATTGACCCCAGTAGAAAAGTCAAAACTGACTAAGGTAACCACCTGTACCTAAGAAAACACATGTGAAGGGATTAAAAAAACTTGAGTACACTTCACCATTCGGTGCATGGAAAGTGGGAGGGTGCCATCTTTGAATGTGGCAACAGTCGCTCTTCGGTGACTGGTATCTCTTCTAAGTATGGTAGAAAAGTAATCTTGGTGTCTAACCCAAAGTTTTCAAGGTCAAAAAATCAAATAAAGATGTTTCCAATGGCATAGTGACAAAAGAAAGTCGGGTTCCCAATTCTCTCAAGGCAAATTATCTCAACATTATTTATGAAAAATGTTCTTACATACCAGTTGAAATCTAAATGCTGTATATAAAATTAGAATATCAATATGGAATTAATAATACATGCTATAACATACAACATGATATCAAACAAATTAATGTGAGTATTGAAAGAATTTTCCTTTTAATGTTTTGGGGTGATCCAACACATCATCCATTAAACTATTTAGGTTTCCTTATACATTTTTCACCACATTTGCAGTATTCAGTACAAGAAAAATTATTTTTCTGGCACTTGCATCTTTCAGTTTTGCATGTTACACATTTACATGTCAGCAGTAATTCATCAGGAACAGAATGGAGACAGCCTCAGAAAGAGCTCCACTCAGGTCTTCGTGTGACACTAAATCTTTCAGATTTAACACACTTCTGTAGCTGCTATCATCCAGCCTAAAGCATTCACATGCCACTGTAACAAGTGGGCATCCCAGGGCCAGTCTAATCGTTGGCTCACCGACTTGTCTTAAGGCTAACCGTCTGCCTGCCTCTCCTGCCATGCCTTAGATGAAACCAATTGTAGGTTGTTAACCAGGCAGGAGGCTACCCATTTCATTGCCCTGATGCCGAGGGCATATATATGGTTCCGAACCTTCCCTTATACCATGTCCCATGCCTCACAGCTGGCATCCATTGCCTAATACCCGGCCTAAGCTTACTTGGCCTATCACTCATCCTACAATCCTGTGCCCCCACACTAGGGTTCTCATTCCCATGCCCGCACCCAGGGACCCTCACTCCAGTGCCTCACGTTGGGACTCTCAATCACCCCACCCCTACTGGGGTCTCTATTCAAATCCACTCAGGGCTCCCAGCCCCTCCCTTTCCCTTGGGCTTCCTGTCCAGCTCTGGACCCTCCTGGTCTGCTCTGCCCCATGCTGGGCTCTCATCCCACACATGACACTAGGCTTCAATCTCCCTGCCCCTGGAGCCTCACACCCAGCTCCCTTTGCAAACCTTAAGCCTTGCTATGGACCTGGGCCCTGTCTCAGGTCCCTTTCATAGTTGGTAGGGTCGGAAGGGACCTGAGGACATCATCTAGTCCGACCCCCTGCCGTGGCAGGAAAGAGTACTGGGATCAAACGACCCCAGTCAGATGTTCGTCCAGCCTCCTTTTAAAGACCCCCGGGGTAGGAGCCAGCACCACATCTTTTGGAAGTTGCTTCCAGATCCTAGCCGCCCTGACAGTGAAATAGCGCTTCCTAATGTCTAGCCTGAAACTACCCTCCGCTAGCTTGTGTCCGTTGTTTCTTGTAACTCCTGGGATTGCTCGGGGGAACAAGGACTCTCCCAATGCCTGCTGGTCCCCCTTGACTAGTTTGTAGACTGCCACTAGATCCCCTCTCAGCCTTCTCTTTTGGAGGCTGAACAGGTTCAGGTCCCTTAGCCTCTCCTCGTAGGGCCTGTCCTGCTGACCCCTGATCATGTGGGTGGCCCTCCTTTGGACCCTCTCCATATCGGCCACATCCCTCCTGAAGCACGGCACCCAGAACTGGATGCAGTACTCCAGCTGTGGCCTTCCCAGCGGCCAATGATGACTCCAAGATCCTTTTCTGTCTCGACACTGGCGAGAAGGGAGTTCCCCGGCCTGTAGGTGTGCTGCTGGTTCTCCCTCCCCAGGTGCATTACCCTGCACTTGTCAGTGTTGAACCCCATCCTGTTCTCTTCAGCCCACCCCTGTAACCTGTTCCTTCCTACTAGCATACTCACTTCTCCCCACATCTTAGTGTCATCTGCAAACTTGAACAGGGTGCTTTCTACCCCCTCGCCCAAGTCACTGATGAAGATGTTGAATACTGCGGGCCCGAGGACCGAGCCCTGGGGAACCCCACTGCCCACATCCCTCCAGGTCGAATGAGACCCGTCCACCACCATCCTCTGGGTGCGGCCCTCCAGCCAGTTAGTGACCCATCTGACCGTGTAGGCATCAACACAACTGTCTCCTAGTTTCTTATTGAGAACGGGGTGAGAGACCGTGTTGAAGGCCTTCCTGAAGTCCAGAAAGACTATATCCACTGCGACACCTGCATTCAAGGACTTGGTGACCTGGTCATAGAAGGCCACCAGGTTGGTTTGACACGACCTGCCCCTAATGAACCCATGCTGGTTGCCCCTGAGCATAACCTCCCCTGCTAGCCCTTCCTGGACATGTGCCAGGATAATTCTTTCGAAAAGCTTCCCCAGGACCAAGGTAAGACTCACAGGCCTATATAGTTTCCTGGGTCCTCCTTCATCCCTTTTTTGAAGATGGGGACCACATTGGCCCTTTTCCAGTCCTCTGGCACATCACCCGAGTGCCATGAGTGCTTGTAGAGCTGTGCCAGAGGTCCCGCAATGACCCCTGCTAGTTCCTTTAGCACTCTGGGGTGGAGATCATCAGGACCTTTCAATGACCTGGACCCCACCTCAGGCAACACACAGTAAACCTGGGCCCTTTGCTTTGTCTTCAGGGTGTGCTCCCCTAGCCTTTCCCCTCCATGAGGTAACCCACAAGGCAGCAGGAGCTGAGGCTTTCTGGTGCCCCATACTCACCCTTCACTAGAGAGACAGGTGTGGCATTTCCTGAGGACCACCCCACCACCAGCAGTCCCACCACACTATGCAGCCCTAGCAGGGTGTAGTTTTAGGTCATGCCCAAGGACCAGAAGCCTCCACCATCCCCATAGCTCCTGCCCTGTACCTCCAAATTATTACGTGAGCAGCAGCTCCTGCTGAGTGATGCTCTCTCTCCAGCTGCTTGCAGCAAACTGCTGGCTCCAATAATGCTCAGGGCCTGTTCTTAACACAAACAGCTGGGCCCTGTTCCCAATCAGGCAGTGTCCTGCTGGTCATGTGCCTGATTGGGAGTGTAGCCACCTGCAGGCTGCTCTGCTGCTTGCCCACACCCCTTTTAGTGATAAGCATAGCCTGTTCTTTGACACAGCCACAAAGAAGCATCCCCTGAGATGTCCATTTTGAATAGAGAAAGAAGTGGGGGGAAGCTGTGAAATAGTTTTACTTTTGTACAATGCAAAATGAAGCTCATTAAATGTTTTGCAATAAAGTGATGGCTGAGGACCTTAACAAGTTATTCTTCAGCACTGTTAACTACGTCCTTAGAAAGTGTGCTATCATCAGCAAAACCTAAAAGGAACTCCTCTGGTGATATGTTCAATGCTGACAGTTTTGTTCCCATTTTGCTGGTGACATCATATTCTGCGAGAATGTGAGCCTTAATAACAACATTGCACAAAGTTGGTTCTAGTTTCTGTCCAAGCGTGTGAGGAGGAACAAATCTTACTTTAACAGCAAAGACTACTTTAATCCAAAGTTCCAAAAGTCCTTTTTCAAACAGTTGAAACAGATATTGAAGACAGACAAAAACATCTGTATCATGACACATGTGAAACCAGATGAAACTGCATCAAATAAATGGATGACTTGGTTGGTTTAGTAAGAAGCCCACAATCATCAAATACCTTGTTAGATGGCCACAGATCATACTTCAGTATGGTCTTAACACACTATCCTCCATCCTTCGATATGCGTAGAATTTTCTCGGCTGCAGAGTAGGATTTCTTTTCTGATGCTGTAGTTGGTTTATGTTTTTCTACCTGTTTATCTCCATCAGAAACAAATCCAGGACATTTTACTTTCTTCATGGTATCCGAAAGCTTCTTTGTTTTCTTAATGAAATGTTCATCTCTAAACTGCATATAGGCCTCCTTTGCACGTTCTCTGAAAGAAAGAAGTCTTTCACCTACCCCTCTCTTGGGACACGTTGCTTGCTTATGAAATTGTGAAGTTGCATGTGACTGGATGTGATATATGGGTTCCCTTTACCCTCCATGAACTGGAACACACAGGAAACACATGATGCAATATTTGAGGCCGAACTCCGGGGCAACTCTTGGTGAGTGGATGCCTCATGATATCTAGTTCTGTCAGGCCTTGTTAATTCTTGAAATGTATTGCTGATTGCAAGAATGTCATGATAAACAAGTTCCCCTTCATTAACGTTTTTTTGTTGCCCAGTCTGTCCAGTTAGATTCCAAAGGTTTCACACTGGTATTTCCAAATTAGGCAGCAGATGCTCTAGGACTATGTGGGGGTGGGGGCAGGCAGGACTGAGTGGAGCACACGTGCTCATGCTCCAGTTCCACCCAGAGCAGCGCTCCCTGATGTTGTCGCTTGGGGGCCCTGAGATGAAGTGGGTGAGTGTCCCCAAGGGCTCTGGGCTCGCAAGGCTCAACTGCACCCACTGCAAGCCTGGAGAGGGTTCAGAGGAGGGCCACCCGCTTGGTGAGAGGGCAGCAGGACAGGCCCTACGAGGAGAGACTGAGGGACCTGAACCTCTTCAGCCTCAGCAAGAGGAGGCTGAGGGGGGGACCTGGTGGCTGCCTACAAGCTCATCAGGGGGGATCAACAGCAAATAGGCAGAGCTCTTTTCTCCCCAGCACCACCTGTGGTGACGAGGAACAATGGTCATAAGCTGATGGAGAGTAGGTTTAGGTTAGAGATCAGAAGGCAATATTTTACAATTAGGGTGGCCAAAATCTGGAACCAACTTGCCAGGGAAGTGGTCCTCGCCCCTACCTTGGGCAAATTCAAGAGGAGGTTGGACGATCACCTGTCTGGGGTCTTGTGAACCCAGCATTCATTCCTGCCTGTGGCAGGGTGTCAGGCTAGATGATCTGTTCAGGTCCCTCCTGACCCTAGCTACTATGAAAGTATGAAACTATGAAACAATCAACCAAGGGCCCCTGTAGAAGAGAGAGAGGGTGTGAATTAATCCCACCAGTTTCCTCCTGGGGCCTCCCAGCTGGGCCTTCCCAGCCCTCACTTGGGCGGGGTGGTCAGTCAGCAAGCAGGAAGGGACAGGGATGGTGGGATTTGGGACCCAGAGCATGTATTTATACAGGAATCCCCAGGCAGGGATTGCCATTGGGGTTCCCCTGTGGAGATTTAAGGAGGCAGGCTGGGTGTGCTCAGGGAGAGGTGATCCCAGCAGCCAAGGTTGGTCAGTTTGAGGCCTGGGCAGCCATGTGTCTCATTGCCCAGAGGAGCTGCTCAGTTCATTCTAACTGGTCCCAGTGGGTGGGTTTGGGGTGAGGGAGGCTGCTGCAAGGTAGCACAGTGGGGTGGGGAGCCTGGCAAGAGCGACTGTGCACAGAGTAGCTGGAGAGCTCCTGGCCCAGATGGACATAGGTGTGGGGGCTGCAGCAGAAGCCTAGGGTAGGTGGGACTGGGTTACCCTTGCATGGAGCCAGTGAAGTGGGGGGCAGAGAAGTCTGCTGGGCTGAATGCCTTGTGGGAGGTGGGAAAGGGACAGCTCTGTCTGTATTGGTATTTCAGCAGCTGCCTCCTCTATCCGGGTAGGGGTGGAAACAAGTGTTTGTCCCCAGATACCAACCACACACATTAAGAAAACAAGTGAGAGTTGGGAAGAACCTGGGGGTGTCCAGCGGACCCTGCCATGGGACAGCCCAGGAACAGGGCAGCAGAGAACACTGCAGTTGTGGGGAGAGTTTGGGAGGCTGCTTGATTCCCAAATCCCCTAGAAGACAGAATAGGTGGGGCCCTGGCCTTGACATTTTTCCAGTCTGCATTCTCAGCTGCCCAGGCCACAGAGTCACTGGCATCCAGGCCCCTAGAGTCAAGGGCTAAGGAGCACTCCGGTGTCCAGCCCTTATGTGCTTGGGTATGTGCCTAAAAGCGCAGAACCAAACTAGGTGCCTCAATGTAGGTGGAACCAGGCAGTGGCTGTATCAGCTCTGCCCGGGCTCCTCATTGCTGCTGGTTTGGTGGAAGTTTGGTCCATGGAGGAGTGGAGCCTTTGAGTAATGCTGAGGTTTAAAGTAACTGAACAGACTCTGGTGCGAACTACCTGAAACATTTCTTTAAAGAGAAACTGAAAAGAGTCTCTTCAGATGTACGCCCAGAGCTCTCAGCTGTGGATGTCAGACAGCCTTAGCAATCCTGGCATTAGAGACAGGGCTGGGAGCATGAGGAATCTCTCCTTCCCAAGTCACCTGGAAAAATTATGCTTCTATTGTAGGTGAGACTTTGGTCTGCCCTTCATGAGAACATGTTGTCTCAGGGCCCTGAATGCCTGGATAAAGCATTCAGGACCCTGTGACACAGAGCACTGTCTCCTGGCATAGTAATACATGGTGATGTCTGCAGCTGTCAGGGAGCACAGCTGCAGGGAGAACAGTTCTGGGAGTCATCCTTGGACATGGTTATTTGGCTTTGGAGTATTGAGGTATATACTGTACCACCGGTGGGTCCCCACCCATTTGAACCCTTTCTGGGGAGGTTGCCAGATCCAGGTCCAGTCATACCCACTGCTGATGGTGTAAGTGGAGACAATGCAGGTCAGAGTGAGGGTCTCTCCAGGTTTCACCACCCCTGGGCTGGACTGGATCAGCTGCACTGGTGAGAAAAAGGAGCTAGAAAACAGGACAGAAACAAGGAGGTCAATCACATAGGAACAGCTCCAGGGATTCCTTAATGTCCAGGGGTCTCACAAAGGCTCTTACAGGTAGGGACACACAAAAGAGGAGAGGGGAAAAGGGAGGAGGGCTGCATTCCTGTGTCCATGGGATGGGTGAAACTCCCAGAAGGCAGGAAGGGGGCAGGGCTGGGGTTGGGCATGGACTGAGGATCTGGGTACCCAGGGGCTGTATTTACTCTGGAGCTGCCGGGCAGGAATTTCCATAAGAGCTGGGCATTTCCATGGATAAGAGCTAAGAGCATTTGACATTTGTTTGCACTGGGGGGGTCTGTGTGAAGGAGGCATGCTCCCCTGAGGCAAGGCAGGAGCTCAGCAAGGGGAGGGGATTGTTGAGGATGCCCAAAGTATTCAGACACCCCTAGTCTGTCTTGACCTGTGGCAAAAATACAGATTCCCTCATCTGGCATCAGGAAGGAGTTTTACCCTGTGCTCATGCTGAAATGGACTGTGGGAGGTTTTCCTTTCTCTGTAGTGGGGGGAGGAGGGCAGGGGGAGTGGGGAGGGCAAGGCCTCTGCCTTGGGTCTCTCAAGTGTATTTAGCATCCCTAGCAGCAGCAGAGCACCAGCAGCCCTAGACCCCCTGTTTTACCTGGGACAGGTTCAGGGGCTTTTGGGGCATTTTTACACATGTAAGCACTAGGGCTGTGCAAAATTTTGCCAAGTGTTTCATCTCGAAGCTGTTTCAATGCCTTTCGAGCTTGAAACAGAGAAATGAAAAAAACCAAAAAGCTTTGAAACCGCTTCAAAACAAAATGAGGGCACTTGAAACGTTTCGAAAGTTTCAAAACGTTTTGAGTTTCGAAGCAGCCCGGTGGCGAGAAGCAGGGAAGAGCCAGGGCTGCGCTCCAAGCGACTCCGCAGCCCAAGGAAACTTAGCCTGGCAGCAGGAAGTGGAGTGCAGCCCTGGCTCTCCCCATGTCTCGCCGCTGGGCTGAGCTCTGTGGGGCTTGGCGGAGCCGGTCAGAGTGAAGCCCTGGCTCTCCCCACTTCCCGCCACCAGGCTGCTCTCCGAGCAGCTCCGCAGCCCCAGTGAGCTCAGCCCTGGCTCTGCCCGCCTCATGGAGCTCAGGCTGGAGGCAGGAGGCAGAGTGCAGCCCTGGCTCTGCCCACCTCCAACAGCCAGGCTCCGCTCTGAGCGGCTCTGCCAGCCCCACAGAGCGCAGCCCGGCGGCAGGAGGCAGGCAGAGGCAGGGCTGCGCTCCACCTCCCACCACCGGGCTGAGCTCCATGGGGCTGCGGAGCCACTCGGAGCGCAACCCCAGCTCTCCTCTGCTTCCCACCACTGGGCCGGATGACAGGAGGCTGCCGCTGCTGGCAAGTGTCACGAGTTTTGCTTTTTGAAGTTTGAGGTGCAGTTTCTGAGAAAGTGCTCCATATGGGGAGCAAAAATCCACAACAAACTTACAGGGCCAAAACCAAAAGGGACCTTGGGGTTATAATTGACCATAAAATGAATATGAGTCACCAGTGTGATGCTCCAGTTAGCAAAGCAAACAATATGCTGCCATGCATCAACCAGTGCATCTCAAGCAAAACTAAGGAAGTTATTCTCCTGCTCTATTCGGCATTGGTGAGGGCAGAGCTGGCGTACTGCGTCCAGTTCTGGGCACCACACTTCAAGAAGGATGTGGAGAAGCTTGAGAGAGTCCAGAGAAGAGACACTCGTGTGATTAGAGGCCTGAAGAACAAGCCATATGAGAAAAAGCTTACAGATATGGGACTGCTCAGCCTAGAAAAGAGAAGACTTTGCAGGGATTTGGTGGCAGCTTACAAATATATCAGGGGATAGCATCAGCGGGTAGGCAAACAACTATTCACCAAAGCACCCAAGGGGAAAACCAGGAGCAATGGATATAAACTCCTGGAAGGTTTCAGACTGGGTATAAGGAAAAACTTTTCACAGTTCATGTGACCAGACTCTTTCCTGGCCAGAGCAAGAAGGCTGAACCCAATGATCTCACCCTTCCAACCTTGAGACTTCTGTGAATCTGTCAACCTCCCTAGGGAGCTAGGTCACTATCTCTGCAGACTCATCCGGGAACCAGGTCTTTCTGCAGCTGTGCTCCCTAACAGCCACAGACACTGCCACATTTTACAGTGTCTGGGGGAGGCAATGGCCACAACAGATGCACCATGGCCCAGAGGAAAGTAGGGACTGTGCTAAAGGGGCAAGTGGTTTCTGGAGCCTAAGCACATCTGAGAAAAACCTTAGAAGATGACATTTTTTGGTCTGGTCCTGTTTCAGTCCTGCACAGCCTGACACTGCCCAGAGCTTCCAGGTTTGGTATTCAAGGGCTCATTACCTTTGGTCTCCAGCTGGGGATGAACCACTGTCAGGATAATCTGGGCAGCTAAGGGAAACAGTCTCACTGTCTATGGTTCTCCGCACCAGGAGAAGATGGCAGGGAAGGGAATGAACACTAGGGCAAGGATGGCTCCACCAGAGGGAGCTGCTGTGGTGGGACTGGGTCCAGCAGAGCCCCAGGAAAGGCCTGCAGTGTCTGGGAAACAGCAATGAGCAGGGAAGCACTAGCTCCACCTCTAACTCTCCAGGGCTGGATCAGCATTTCTGTGACCTCCTCCAGGAACCAGCTCTCCTGCAGCTGCGCTCCCTCACCCTGGCAGACACAGCCACCTGTTATTGAACCATGGGACACATGGGCATAGTGACACAGAGAAAAGAGGGGCTGTGCACAAAGGGGCAGGGGAACCTGCACAGTGCAGTGAGCCCAACCCAACGCAACCCAGAGCAGTGAGATTTCTCCTGCCAAAGCCCCTGGCAAAGTAGGAGTGAGCATGAAGGTGCCAAAGAAGGAAGTGGAGACAAGAACAAGGGAACAGACTCCTTCTCTTGTTGGCCCTGAAGATTGTTCCTATTGTTTAAATAATTATTCTTATGCCTGTAGCTAGAATTGGTTTGAGGCATAAAAAAGTTTGTTTTATACTTGCGCACTGTGCTGTATGGTGGGATCATTCTAGAAGGAGTGACCTTTTTACCTCTCAATCCCATATAGAGAGACGTGAAAAATCATAGCATCTCATGAAAATTTTAGTAATGTGTGCACAATATATTGATTGACAGGTACTATTATTTTTGGTGGGAATTTGTGTACTGTGTGCACAGTTAGGTGCAGTGTGAAGAGCTGAGAGGGGTGTGTGCACCCCACGTATATAAGCGTTGTTGGCGGGGGGGACTGGTTCCCTGCTGATTAGTTGGTTGGCTGCTGCTGGTGTGGTCATTGCTTGCTTGCTATTGTTGAAAGAGTTTGTTGGGTGATCACTATTGGTCTCCAGTCCTCCTGATGCTTCTGAACTGCTGCTGATGTTTCCAAAGCTGTTCATGGGCTTCCTCACCTTCACTCTCACATCTTAGAATTGGTAATGTATAGCTTTGTATGTATTTAGTTCCCCTCGTGTTCCTTGTGTTAGTGTTGTATGTAATTATTGTACATGGTTACTGTCTCATAATAAACCATTTCATTCATTTCACTTTAATTTTGGTATCCTTGTGTGTTAATCCCTATAACCAGGCTGGGCCACCTAACTCAGTGACAGCTGAGTCAGCCTGGGCCGCTCATGCCCCCTTTCGCCCACTATAATCTATTTAACTGAAGCCGCCTTTCGGTGCTCATGTAATTTTCCCTGGCTTCAGATTGGCATCCCTGGGTGGGTGTGAAGGGGTTAATTTATAATTAGTTCTGTTAATCAGGCACTAACAAATCTCATCTATGTGTCTGTGATAGTTTGTGTTGCTTTTCAATATAAATCAGCCTGTCAGATGGTGGCTGACAAGCTGTTAGCTCCGAGGTGTTCTCTAGGTGGTGCCAGGGTGCTCTTTAGTGCTGTCCCTAGCATTTTGCCAATTGTTTTGCTTACTGATTTGCTGACTGTTTTGAAGGGTCAGTGCTGCAGAGAGACAGAGCGGTTTCATTGGCAACATTGTAGGGGGTGCACACGGGTGCATATGCACTCCCTGGAAGCGCCATCCACGAAACTGGAAATGCTAAGGATGTGCGAAACAGCAGCGTTTCGCTTCAACTTCCGTTTCGACAGAACAGTGTTTCATTTCGAGTTCTGTTTCATTTTGAAAGCACTGTTCTGTTTCATCAAAATGGTTTCGCTGTTTTGATGCTGTTTTGCCCGTAGGCTATAATGGGGATGCATGAAACAACCTATAACTTTGTCATATCTTGCCTGATTCTGATTAAACTTGCAGGGATGGTAGCCCCTTCTGAGGGCATGAAGCCCGCCAAGTTTCAAGGATATAGGTGCAGGGGTTTCTAGGAAACTGCACCTCAAGCTGCTGACAAGCAGGAGCCCAGGAGCAGGAGCAGCGTCCTATGATCCAGCAGGCAGATCGGGGGCCTTGACCCCCCAGGAGGAGTCCAGCAGAGCCCCTGCAGCCCCTCCTGAGGGTGTGGGTGGATACCTGATGTGCCCGCTGGATGACAGGAGGCTGCTCCTGCCTGAGACCCAGCGCTGAGGAACTGAGCCTGGTTGAGGGAGGTGTCTCCCACCACCAGGCTGAGTTCCCAGCAGTTCACAGAGCTGGGAAATGAAGCCTGGTTGGGGGACGTGCCTCCCCTAGCTGGGCTGAGTTTCCCAGCACTGGGGATGAAGCCTGGCTGGGAGAGGCATCTTCCCCAGCTGGGCTGTTTCCCAGAGCTGGGAACAGAGCCTGGCACCAGGAGGCGCTTCTCCCAGCTGGGCTGAGTTCCCCATTGCTGGGAACTGAGCCCAGTGGCGGGATGCACTTCCCCCTGCCGCATGAGTGACTGGTGCCTCCAGAATCTGGGGGGGGGGGCACACCTGCAGAAGCCACCGACGGTAGCAGGCCTGTTGGGGGGGCACCAGCCCTACCAACAGCATCAGTGTCGGCCGTCGGGGGGGCACTGGCCCCGTCAGGGGGGGCACGTGCAGCCCCGTGCACCCCCT